GTCTACATATTTCTTTATATCTTCCAATTCATCAATTCTCTCTTTGTCGGTGTCCAATCTGCCATAAAACTGTCCTGAGTTTTAAGTTTCATTATTTATATTGTTATTTCCAGAAGTTCTGTTTGGAGATTGGTTTTGTTTTGTTTTCGCTTTTATTTTGGAGCATTTCAAATGTATGCAAAATTCGAGACAATATATTTTAAGTCACCTTCAACAGTTACTAGCATATATCTGTCTTGTTTGATCCACATTCCTTCCCCAGGTCCCCACCATGAGATTCTTTTAAGGCAAATCTCAGACACCCTGTCACTTCATCCATAGATATTGTTCACATCTGTCTATTCTTGTTTTTATAGTGTTATTTTCTTGAAAGTTTGAATTTCCATTTTGTCCTTCAATTATCACAAACATTCTTACCAGCAATTTGGCCTGCTGTTCTGTTGCCTCAAGTCTGAGGGCTCTAACCCTCCGGTCCGTGGTGCCTGCTGAGGGGTCCAGGATGGCCTCTTCCTCTGTATATAGAGGGATTGGATATTATGAGCTCGTCTTTGAAGGAGCTTGTTTTCCCGTGGGAATTTCCTGCTACCTGAGCTGAAAGCGGGCCCCTCCAGAGTCATTTTGCATCTGCTTTACTGCATCACTCAGGGTTATCAGCCTCAGACCAATTTTTTTTCACTTGACATAATCCCAGACCCTGCATGCAATATAAATCTGGACCTCAAGCCCACTCAAGTCACAAGCTTGAGGCACGAATTTTTCAGAGGATCCTTTTTAAATCCTCACTGGCCTATGCACAAACTGTAATAGACAAGCTTCTTTGTTATCTCCCTGTGCCAGGGGATAGATTTTATTCCTTGCACACCTTTTCAATGAGAGATCAGCCCTTACAGGAGTCTGGCTTTGCAAGAAGTCACAGTTTCAGCCCTCTGCCTCCTATCAGCTGAGGCTCTTATCTCCTGTCTCAGCATCTCATCTCAGTGTGGAAGCTCACACTGAGGCCCAGGTTACTGGCAGTGATTACCCTCCCACCTCTCTCTGCCCCCCACCCCCGGACCCCCGGGTCCCGCTGCTGTGGGGTCGAATCCGGTGATCAGCACTCTGGCATTTAGCTTTGTTCTGGCCCCTAGAGACGCTCTTTCTTGCTGCTAACTGGGCCTTGCACTCGCAGTTTGTTCAATTGGTTCTATCTGTCTGTAGGGAGGGGCTTTTCACATGACTGTAGGTATGATTTTGGCAGAACTGACACCCTTTTGTGGTGAAAGCTGGTTTGATTTATGTTTATCCTTGTTTCTTACTTGAAATTTAAAAAAAAAAAAAGGAAAATAATGCAGTCATCACAGCATCCCGTTCAGATCAGATCCGTCTGCCCCAGAGCCCCTGCAGGCGTGCAGCCTGCCCTCTCTGGTCCTTGGCTTTGGACAAGTCACCTGCCCTACCCTTAAGATTCGCAGTGACTGCACCTCCGCCCCTGCAGGGCCTTGAGGACAGAGTCCAGCCTTTTATTTGGGGCTGACCCGCCCTGGGGTTTGCCCCATGAAATAACCGGCTGGTGCTCGGTGCTGTTTCTGGTTTCAGAATTCTGATTTTTTTGCAGCGATGTGAACTCTCTGTCCATTTTTCTTTGTAAATAGGCAACATTCACCCTAAATACCGATTTGTGTCACTGCCACTAAGTAGCCAGCCAGCAAAAAAAATGACCTGAGTGTTCCAGTCCTTCTGTCAGGGACACGCCTACTAAGATGGCATAAATCTCACCCTGTCGTGCCACAAGCCCCAGCCCCACGCGCAGGTGCTGCTCGTCCCGCTTCTAGTTCTGGGTTCCACGAGGGGCCAGGCTTGTTGTTCCAAAGCCCCTTCTGTTCTGCTGCGAAACTGGGGTGGCCGTCAGTGGCCAGGCCGGCGCCTATCAAGCACCCAGTTCCCGAGCTTCCGATGCGCCTGCTGGAGAGTCAGGCGACGCCGAGGGGTGCGCAGCTCTGTAGATGCCGAGGAGCCACCAGACATTTAGAGTGGGGCGGATAAATGAAACCTCCAAAAGTTTCTTTCTTTTAAGCACACACTGCTTTCCACCGTGCCCCTGCTGTGGCCTGGCCCTCCCCGTGACCCGGACCCGCTCCAGGCCTGCGGGACTTGCCGGGTGTCCCTGCTGCCGACCCCTGGCTCCCCACACAGCTGAGTGCCCCCTGGCTCCCTCCAGGAAGGTTCTCTGACTTCTGTGAGCCCTGCCTGGAGAACCCCTGTGCGGCTCTGGCCACGCCATGCTCGGGGCTCCAGGCTGTGGGTGTGTCTCCCGGCCTGCAGCTCCCTCACTCTGCCCTCCAGGTCTGGCCTTAGTGCCTGGCAGCCAGGAGATGCTCAGCAGGTGCCTGTTCAGGGAGAACCAGCTGGCTGCGTGGGTCCCCCTCTGAACTTGACCGCTCTTCGGCTTGTAGGAGCCCTGCCCACGAGCATGTCGCGGGCACAAGCTCATGCAGAATCACCCAGGCGCGGCTTCGTGGCACTCCCCTGGCCCTCCCCCGGCACTCCTCTTTAGCTTCTCCTGAACCTCTGATTTAGCAATTAGCAGTCTGCCAGAACCACCTCCCTTGTCTTTCTGGAATGCTTCTCTCCTAAGGTACCTTTCCCTGGGGGTGGGGTGGGAAGCAGGGAGCTGAGCGCTAGCTGCTGAACGAGAGGGGACGGGGCCAATTAGCATTCAGCTAGCAGGGAAATGATTTCTCCCATCAGCAATAAAAACTGACAGCTCTATCAGAGGAGGAGCTGGGGAGCCAGAGAGCCTGGCAGGGCGGGGTGGGGAGGGCAGAAGCGCCCGGGCCCAGCAGGAGCAGTGAAAACACTGAGGGCAGACGCTGCTGGAGGCAGGGAACCTGCAGGCAGCCAGGGAGCGCCTGGGGAGCCCCTCTCGCCCTCGCCCTCGCCCCTCCTTTCTGAGCCAGCCTGAGGACTAGCACAGTTCAGCTTCTGAACCCCAAACTCAGAGCGGAGTCCGCCGCTCCTGTGCGCGCCTCGCCTCTGACCTCACAGAAGGGGAAGCCACGGGCCGCCTGTTCCTGGGAGCGGAGGGCCTGGCGGGGAGTCTGGCCTTGGTGACTTCCACGGGCTGATGACATGGCTCTGGCCTTCGGGATCTCCCCACGCCAGGAATGAATAAGGGGGTGGGGGTAGGGGGCAGGGCGGGGAGCAAAGCTCCGCTGACAGACCAGTCCCTTCTTTGGGGCCGCGGGTGATCCTTCTACCTATCGGGGCCACGAACCAGGTAGGATTTAATGGCGCTCGAATTTAATAGCGTTAATTTGAGGGGAGGTGCCGAGGGGGGGACAAGGGGGGCAAAGCACCCTCATTTGGGTTGATTGGGAAGATATTTAACGTTTACACATGGAACCGCTGCCTTGCTGTTGCGAGAGCGGGCCAGGGACGCCCCCACAGCCCGGGACTGGCGGGAACGGAGACAAGAGCAGGTTGGCCTTGCGCTGGGAGCAGGGGGGGGCGGGGGGTGGTGTTGGGGGTTTGGGGGGTGTTGAGGGGGTTGGGGGGGTTGGGAGGGGGTTTGGGGCACGTTCGGGCCCGTCCTGGGCCGGGCCGCTGCTGGAGGCCCGACACCGGGTGCTGCCGCCCTCCTGGCCCGAGTGTCTGAGCGCCCGTCCCGGGAAGGAGGCGGCAGAAACGGTCTGGGCCACACGGCGGGGGCTTCTCTTCCTCGGGACGCGGGCCTTGGCGACGCTCAGGAGAGTCCGGCCGCCGGGGCTGGGGCTGGGGCTCCCGGGTCGCCCCCGCGGGCTGCTGAGGGGGATTCTGGATCAGGTCTGGGCCAACCGTTCTCCTATTAATTTATTTATTTAATGTTCTTGGTGCCAGCGATGTCACAAGGCAGGAAACATAAGGCCTTTAATCCCCAAGAATCGATTTCAGATAAAAGCGCCCACCTGAGGCGCCTCCCGGGCCCCCTGTCCTGGGTTACGAGGCGGCGTCTTGCTCGACGCTCTGCTGGGTTTCCAGGCGAGAGGCCGGGACCTGCCAGCCGGCGCCACGACCCTCAACGATTCACGCTTTAACACAAAATGCATGTTTCGCCCTCATGGCAGACCCCGCGGCGGTGTGGGTGGCGGCGGCTGTCCCCGCTCGGGACTTGGGGGCTCGGGGACCCGGGGGCTCGGGGGCTCGGGGGCTCGGGGGTGTCCATCTTTCGGTGCCACAACTTCCAGGGCTTTGTCCTCGCCATCTGCCTCCATGGCACGGCAGAGGGGGGAGAACGTGCCTCTCAAGGGCAGTGGCTGGGAGTGACGTGCGTCACCCTTCGCGCCCCGCTGCTGGGTCCTCCCAACGCCTCACCGGGGCGGGGACGGCTGGGAAACCTGCCTGGCCGCCATCCGTGCCGGGGCGGGAGGGGCCTGCTCTGGTAGAAGGGGCCTCATCTCCTCCAAACCCCTCTTGGCGCCTCTCTCAAGGATCCCCCTCGACAGGAACGAAGGGAGAGCATCACTTCGCTACCTTTGCGGGACGCAAAGGACCAGCAAGACCTGTCAAGCAAATTCTTTAAATATTTCTGGGTCATTTACTGTTTAGCTCTTAGGAAGCCACCCGAGGTCTGCACTCAGCTTTTAATAGCACTGAGGTACAGAGACGAGTCCCTACGCCCGCCGGCATGGGCAGCCCCGTAGCTGCTAGACCTTCCAGAGCCAGTGGCCAGGCTTCACTTGACACCCCGATGGAAGACGAGGCCCAGCATCCGGACGAGACGGGCAGGGGGTTCCCCCCTCTTTCTGTGTAAGGCAGGCACCGCCCACGTGGTGCACACCCCAGCCAACCCCTCCTGTGTGCCTCAGTCTCCCTTTAGCCCGCCGTCCTGACTGAGCAATGTGATGTCCAAGCCACGAAGTTTCCCAGGACCTATTTTTATCCCCGAAGGATTCCCCTCTGCTTAAGCACATGGGGTATTAAAGGGAAGGGAGGTGGGTGGGGCAGGGAGGAGGAGAGGCTCAGCACGTCTCCATCTCTTGCAGCCTAATCTCCGACACAACGCCCCATCGAGTCTACCACATGCTGGTGCTTGGCGGTGGGTAGCAGATCCAGGCCACCCTGGAGGCCAGGGTGGCACAGGTGTGACCACCAGGAGGCAGGCTCACCGAGCCGGTTCAGAAGGTGCCGCCTACACATACTTGACTTGCTTGACAGTCGCAAGAGGGTTGTCATGATCTCTACTGTCTCCACTTTACAGGTGAGAAAAATGAGGCAGAGGGGGGCTTTGCAGCCCCCTCAGGGTCCCAGAGCCAGGAGGTGGCAGGGCTGGGTTCAGCCCAGCAGCCTCCTCAGAAGCACCTGCCCTGAGCCCAGGGGGCCTCTGGGAGTCGGGCGGTGGGTCCCCTGCTGATTCCTGGGAGAAGGGGGTGTGTGGCAAAATGTGGCTGATGGTGGGTGCAGTCTGGGACAGGGCTGCTGGACGAACACGAAGGTTGCTGGGCCTGGAGAAGAGCATTTGGGGGGGGCCTCCAGCTGACGGGAATGGGATTGGGAGAGAATGGGCAGGGTGCAGGGGGAACAGCCAATAAGGACCTTCTTTCAAGGAATTTTGCTAAAAGTAGTGTCTGAGAAATGGCTCGATTCTGGAAAGGTACCGCTGAGCCAGGCTTTTGTGGTTTTTCGTGTTTTCGGAAGAGAGGCCTGCAGCGCGCTTGCAGCCCCGGGCACTGGCGACCAGGAGTGGACATGAAGTGAGAGGGGGGTGAGGCGGGAGCAGGGAGAACCGCCGCAGGGTGGGCTGGGGGCCAGAGGGACTGCTGTGGCCGAGGAGGTGTGGAGGCCGCCGCGTGCTGGAGCGGGACTTCCCGGCCGCTCCCCCTGCCCCCGCACCCCCCAGCCTTTATGTCCTGTTTGCAGCCTGTGGGTTTCCTGGGGCCCATGACCAAGTACCGCAAACTGGCGGCTTAAAGCACCAGACACTGAGGGCCTCGCCCTCCCTCTGAGGGCAGCAGGGCTGGGCAGGTCTGCTCCAGGGAGGCTCTCCCAGGCCCGGGGCCCAGGAGCTCCTGGTCTGTGACGCCACTTTCACGGCTTTCCTGCATCTGTGTCCCCTCCGCTCATAAGGACACAAGACACTGGATTTATTTCATCCTGAGGTGACAGGAGCGACATAGCCGCAGACCCTGTTGCTAACTAGGGCCACCGACGCGGAGCCCGGTTAATGCTAGCGTGAGTCTTCTGGGAAGAGGACTCAACCCTCTCAGCTCGGGAGGCTCGAGCCTGCGTGGTCATGGGGGGAGGGCTCTGCAGTGCCCCCTGACTCCGGGCCTGCCTCTCCCCCTGCCCACTCTGCCAGGGGAGGGGGCTGAGGGAGGCGGCCTGAGCTGACAGGGGCACAAGCCTCACAGTTGCAGTCACCCTTCCTGAAAAGCCCCCTTGGGGCCTCCCTGGTGGCTCAAGGGGTTAAGCACAGCACAGCACTGTGAAGCAATCCGCAGCCTCTGCAGCATGAGTTCTATCCCCGGCCAGGGAGCAACCCACATGGCGCAGCAGACCTCTCCTGCCTCGCCCGCTGCTCCCCTCAGCAGTGTACTTCAGTCAGACAGTCTGCCTGTTCTGTTCTCCGCTCTGTCTCTGGTGAATCCTCTCACCCCCACACCTCTGGCCTGTACCCCAGCTCTTGTCTGCATAAATAAATAAATCTCTTTATTTTTAAAAAAGCCCCCTTGCAACCCTCTCGGAGTCCTTGGTTTCTGCCCTGCTCCGTTCTGTCTCCTTCCGCACCCCTGGGATCTCAGGGATTCCATCCTGAGCCCTGGGCCAGGGTCTACTCCCACGACCCGCAGCCCTGCTTGCCAGGCCCCCCCCCTCCACCGGGGCTGACCCCTAAGGTCCCACACAGGGGTTTGGTCTTCTCCATTGGTTGACGCACCCATGGCCCCTCACCCATGGACATGGCACAGTGCCTTGGGCCCTGGTCCCCTTCTCTGGAGACGTGGGGAGCTCTACCCCATAGGGTTCCGTGTTCATGGGAGAAAAAGGTTGGGAAAAGGCTTTGTAAACCTGGGGTGTGTCGCCAAAGGAGGTGGCAGAGTGCCCCCCAGCCCTCCATCGGGCTGCGGTCAGGAAGGCTGAGCCTGGGGCTGCAGGGTCCAGGGCATGGCACAGAGGCGCCCCCTTCCTCTCCACCATGGGCCCCCCCACCCTCCTGCTGGGAGAACCCTGAGGACAGGCTGAGGCTTTGGTCCTGCTCCCAGGAGCCTCGGGCCCGACCCTCCTTCCCTCACAGTGACGCTGGGGACCAGGGCAGGGTGGGGGCCTTTGGGGACCAGCAGAGGCTGGGGCAGGCACCCGACCTTAGATTCAGGCCACACTGCTGTATTGCCAGGGCGCGCCACACAGAGTCCTGAAAGATTCAGAACAAGCTCATTCACCACATTTTCAGAAAATGGATGAGAGGCTGATCAAACAGTCCTTTGATGCCAGGATGAAGGGGGGGGTCCTGCTTGATGGGTTGGAGGCAAAGTGTGGGCTGGAGTTCTGACAGCTGGAGAGGAGTCTCCCTCATCCATCAAACCCGAGGAAGAGAAATGAGGCCTGTCCCTCCTGCTGGGAGCCTGGCGGCGGATGGCAGCCTGCGCAAGGGCTGAGGGGTCCAGGGCCACGGGGCTTCAGGGGGCCGGCTTGCTGCCAAGCCACAGCCCAGCTTGAGGCCTGGCTCAGAACCTCGTTCAAAAACGCCATCCCTTCTCTGGGCTGCAGCGGTGGAAGAGCTCACCTGCCAGGCTCTGGGTCTTCCTAGCAGAACCCCAAATGGCAGCATTCCCCAGAAAAGGGCAGCTGCCTCCATAGGAGAGAGCCTCTCCCAGGCAGGACTCACAGGCTCTGTCTGCTCTGCTCCCCTCTCCTCATCAGCCTGTGTGCGGGGGTAGGGAATGACCCTCCCTCTCACCTCCCCCTCACCTCCCCCTCACCACACCTGGTCCTCACCCTCATCTCACCTCATCCTCACCCTCACCTCACCCTCAGCTCACCTAACCTCACCCTCACCTGCCCTTCATTTCACCTCACCCTCACTTCATCCTCACCTCACCTCACCCTCACCTCATCCTCCCCCTCACCTCCTCCTCACCCTCACCTCATCCTCCCTCTCATCTCACCCTTAGCTCACCTCACCTCACCCTTACCTGACCTCACCTCACCCTCACCTGACCTTCATTTCACCTCACCCTCACCTCATCCTCACCTCACCTCACCCTCACCTCATCCTCCCCCTTACCTCCTCCTCACCCTCATCTCACCTTATCCTCACCTCATCCTCCTCCTCACCTCACCCTCACCTTCACCTCACCTTATTTTCACCCTCACCTCACCCTCACCTTCACCTCATCTTCACCTCACCCTCACCTCATCCTCCTCCTCATCTCACCCTCACCTCATTTTCACCCTCACCTCACCCTCACCTCATCCTCACTTCACCTCACCCTCACCTTCACCCTCACCTCACCTCACCTCATTCTCATCTGACCTTAATTTTACCTCACCCTTACCTCATCCTCATCCTCACCCTCACCTCACCTCATCCTCCCCTTACCTTTACCCTCACCGTTACCTGACCTTAATTTCACCTCACCCTCACCTCAGCTTCACCTCACCTCATCCTCACCTCACCCTTACCTGACCTTCATTTTACCTCACCCTCACCTCATCCTCCCCTCACCTTTACCCTCACCCTCACTTGACCTTAATTTCACCTCACCCTCACCTCATCCTCACCTCACCTCACCCTCACCTCATCCTCCCCCTCACCTCCTCCTCACCCTCATCTCACCTCACCCTCACCTCATCCTCCCCTCACCTTTACCCTCACCCTCACCTGACCTTAATTTCACCTCACCCTCACCTCAGCCTCACCTCAGCTCATCCTCACCTCACCTCACCCTCACCTGACCTTCATTTCACCTCACCCTTACCTCATCCTCACCCTCACCTTTACCTTCACCCTCACTTCATCCCCACAGGGACCAGGACCAGAACAGGGCTGGGCCTTCAACCCAGATCTCTTTTTTCAAATCCAGGCTCCTTGAGGCAGAGGCCACCCCTGGCTGGAAGGCGCGTTTGGAAAGCTGTGCTGTCTGGGGGCCATCAACAGCCAGTCTGCCTGCTGCATCCTCTTCCCAGCACTTTCTCAGGAACAGCCAGGTTATGGCGCAGCTGCCCTGCCTGCTCAGTTAGTGCCTCAGTAAACACGAAGCCTTTGTTTATTTTTCAGCCACTGGATTGCCACATGTTCACGTGCTGACAGAGTTCTGTGATGTTGAAGAAGGTGAGACATTTCAGCCTCAGTACATCTCTTTCCCTTGCTTCCCACCTCGCCTGCCGGTGGGAGGTTTCGCCTGGCCCTGGGCGTTTGGAGAAAGTGGATTTGGAGGGCCTCCCCCGTGGCGCAGCGGGTTGAGCACAGCGCTGTGAAGCTGTCCGCAGCCCCTGCAGCACAGGTTCAATCCTGGCCAATTCCCGGCCGGTGGGGGAAAACCCACATGGCGCAGCAGACCTCTCCTGTCGCGCCTGCTGCTCCCCTCAGCAGTGTTTTTGGTCGTTCTGCCTGTTCTGCTCCCCGCTCTGTCTCTGGTGAATTCCCTCACCCTCCTGCACCTCTGGTCTGTACCCCAGTTCTTGTATAAATAAATACATCTTTAATTTAAAAAAAAAAAGAAAGTGGATTTGGGTGTATTTAGTTTGGGATGATGGGCTCCTTCATGTGGCTCACAGTTACACCCACGTGTGGCTCAGTTATTGGGGTACCTGGGTGAATGATGACTTCCAGAACATTCCCACCATCATGAAGAAGATGAATCCAATGAACACAGTGGAAAATGACTTCAGTTGCTTGCAGCTTGGAGATGAAATACCCACCTCAACAAAGATGACAAAAGGCAGCACAGACCCTGCACCCAGGGGTCAACCTAGGTGTCGCCACCCATTGGGGAGGTCGTAATAGTCCCTGCATGAGAGAACGTGGCCTGCCCTGAATTTGAACAGGTAGGAAGTTAACAGTCCACCTGTGTCCTCGTTCCAGAACACGCACCGCAGAGTCCTCGCTGGACAAAGGGGCGATCAGGGCCGCCTGGGGCCACGTTCCTGACGCATTTGTCCGTCTTTTGAAATGTGTGGCCTGTGGCTTTAGTCTCCTAGCACCGGGAAGTTATTTCTCGCGTCACACCTAGTTTAGGCTTCGTAGCTGCGGTTGTTTTTTCAATGAGCGTGTTCCCCGCCCCCAACCCCAACATCCTCTGCCGAACCTGGGCGGTTTGTAGAGAAGAGGGGTGCTTGGTCCGCCGCTGTGCCCTGAGATCCCAGCTGGCTCGCCTGTCCCGCGGGTTCTCCCAAGAGAGGAGCGTCGCCTGTGGGCAGGCGCTGGGAGGTAAGCAGAAATGCCTGCCGGCCCCCTGGGGCCTCCCAGCTCGCTCTGGGCTCCTTCCTGATCTTTTCCTGCTGCAGCCCCTCAGCCAGTCTCTGTTGCTCCTGCTGCGCGCTGCAGCTTCCTCATGGAGGGGGCCCCAGAGCCCAGAAAGCCTTTTACAAAATCCAAAGCACCAGCAGACAAAGGCAGTGATGCAAGGGCTGGGTTGGGAGGGGGAGAGGGGCAGGGAGGGGCGTCCCCAGACAGCTCCTCTCCCCACATCCCTCTCCCACGGGCTGCCTCAGTGGGTGTCCCCAGGGCCCAGCAGGACCTTGCCTTGTGGGAAGCAAATATTCGTCTGCATTATGGGTTACTAGAAAGATGGCCCATGTCGGGGGCAGACCCCATCCCCAGGGGAAGGAGAGCTTCCCAGGGTATGAGGGGGTGCAGCTGGTCAGCCCCACTCCAGCTGGGAGGAAATGAGGGACCCAAAGGAGTTAGGGGCCTCTCTGGAGGCATCTGCCAGGGTGGGGTGGGCTGTGTTCCCAAGGGCTTCTGTCCCGTGAGGCCTGCCTGGGCCCCAGGGAGATGCAGGACTCTGTGGGGAGGGTCTGGAAGGCAGGTGGGGGGTCTTGACCTGGATAAGGGGTGGCTATGCGCCAGAATCCCCTGCCTTCACCTGTGGAAGGAGACACCTGCCTGGAAATCCTGGGCGGGGGCAGAGAGGAGCCTACTGTGGCGCCCCACCCTCCCTCCCGACACCAGCCTCCTGCGTGTGACCTCGCGACGCCTTTCCTGCCTGTCCCTGCAGCTCCGCTGTCCTTCCTGCCCCCCGACCCCCAGCTGCGCACACCACTGCGTCCCTGGGGTGACTCAGTGAAGTCTGTGACACGGGCCTGCCCGCGGCGGGGCGGAGGGAGGGCTCAGCGGGGTCTTGTTTCCCGAGTTCTCAGCGTGAAGCGCTTCTGCGCCCCACCTGAGGCCACCCCAAGCGTTTGTGATTCCCTCCATGTCCGCCAAGTCTCCCCCAAGACGCCTGCGGTCTGCATTTGCAGAATCTGAGATCCGCTTTCTAGAAGTTTGTAAGGAAAGTCATTTCTCTGTTATGAATTTGCTGTGTTCAAGTTCCTCCTACGGGGGCGCCCCTCCCTCCCTCCTCCCGAGGCCCCGGCAAGGGTGCAGGTGTCGTCCTCGGCAGGTGGCACAGGTGAGGGAGCGGCTGGGGGAGACCAGAAGCCGGGAACTCACAGCCCAGGCCCTGATCGCACAGCCCGAAGCTGCCAGCGGCCACGAGCGAGCAGGCAGCGCTCTGTCCTGGCCGGCTGGGCGGCCTTAGCCACGCGACCTCCTTTCTCTGAGTCTGTTTCCTCATCTGCTGCCCGCGGACTCGCTCGCACCTGCCAGGCAGGGGCCGGGAGGCTGGCAGGAGCCCAGAGCCCAGCAGGGGTGTTTCAGGTGTCCCCTGTCCCCCACCCCACCCCCAGACACGGGCCAGGCCCAGCGGGGAGACCACCTGGGCCCAAGGGATAGAGGTGGAGCAGGGGGTGTCGGGGGTGGGGGGAGGGGACCGCCCGCGCTGAAGCCAGCTCTGTCCTGAAGCCCGCGTGTCCTGCAGCACGCATCCCCCCAGGTGCATCCCCCCAGACGCATCCCCCCAGACGCATCCCCCCAGACGCACCCCCCAGGTGTATCCCCCAGGTGCATCCCCCCAGGTACATCCCCCAGGTGCATCCCCCAGATGCATCCCCCCAGGTGCATCCCCCAGGTGCATCCCCCCAGGTGCATCCCCCAGGTGCATCCCCCCAGGTGCATCCCCCCAGGTGCATCCCCCCAGGCTCATCCCCCCAGGTGCATCCCCCCAGGCTCATCCCCCCAGGCGCATCCCCCCAGGCGTGTGAGCTGCTCCAAGGCCAAGAGGTGTGGAGGGAAGGAGGGGACATGACAAGTGACGAGAGCAGGGCCAGGCAGGACCCCGGGCGGGGCCGCTGCTCAGGGACACGTTCATCCAGGTCACAGGAGAGCGGCTGGAGATTTCCCTTTGGCCCCGGTGGGGCGGGAGCTCCCCGGGGGAGGCTGCGGCCAAATGGCCGCCCTTTCCCGATCCCCACGGAGGACAGACCGGTCAGCGCCCGTCAGCTCGCCCGGGGATCGCGGGCCCACGGGGGCATTGGCGCAGCTCCGGGTTCCCTCCCTTGATGCGGGAAGTCTCCTCACTTCCGAACAGCCTGCGCCCGGGGGAAGTCTTCACTCAGAAACTGTCCAGGAGGCCAGGCCTCCAGGGCCGACCGAAAGCTGCGTAAGTCCGAGTGTGGCTGAAAACCCCCACAGCGCGACCCACCGGAGCTGCAAGGTCCTGTTAGCAGGAAAATAAACCGTTTTATTCACCTACAGAGAAGGATGGGGGGAGGGAGGTTTGGGCCTGACTCCGCTGACCCCTCTCTGACCTCAGCTTCTCAGCTCCCACCTGCAGCCCCAGCCCTCCTGCAGGCCCTCTCACACTCCAGAAGTTTCTCATGGAGGCCGGTGAGTGCGGTGGCCTTGGCTTCCGTGGCGGGCTCAGGGCTTTGTCCCCTTCATGCTGGGTGCCCACTGGGTTTGACTTAGATGCTGTCAGGCTCTGCCCCAGAAGGAGGGCACCCGGGACAGGGCCTGGCCCAGAGCACTGCTCTGGAGAGGTTTGTTGAATGAATGAATGAGTGAACCAAAGATCTCTGAGGGTCATGGCGGGGACTTGGGACTCCTGTAGGAATTAGAGGTGGGGGCCCCGGTGTTTGCTGGCTGTGAACACAGGCCCTCTGACTTCCACCCCGTCTCCCCAGACCTGGCGTGAGGGAGCTGACCCAGCAACAGGGCAATGGAAGAGAAAGTGAGAGAACCTGCAGGCAGAGACGGGGAGAGGAGAGCCTTCCTGGAAAGGAGGCCCCACCGCGGGAGGGGCCTGGGGAGCACCCCTGAGCAGGCGGCCTGCTCCTGTCACCACCTCCGCACCCCCACAGGGCCCAGCTCCAGGCAGACAGGGCTCCCTGCTGGCAGGTGCGGCAGGTTTCTCAGAGGGTCTCTCCTCCGCCCGCCCCACCTCCTGCTGCGGCCCCTCCCACAGTTTTTTCACCTGTAACCACTCGTCCGTCCGCAGGCTCTAGACAGGCCTCAACTCCCCTTGCTGGGCCCTTGTCCCTTGCGAGCCCCACCCCCTCCTCAGGAGGCCTCCATGAAACAGGCCTGTAAGGGTTTAAGGCCAACATCTTATTTCAACCACATTTTATTCTCTGCAAACTGCTTTCCTTCACCTCAAATCTGTCTGAGTGTTTCATTCCCATAGTGTACATGGGGGGGCCCCTGTGTGCCTCCCTTGGCTTAGGAGTCGAGTTCAGGTGCAAACTGAGGGGCTGTGTCTAGATTCCCAGGACTCCAGGCTGGTCTTCCAGGGAGGCAGGAGAGGGGAGGGCGCAGGATGCACAGAACCCCCTCCAGGCCCAGGCCCCATCACCCTGGCCCCGCCCTTCAGGAACTGCCCTGGGAGTGTGAGAACCAGAGTTGTTAGCGCGAAGAGCCCCTGGCCACCCAAAGCCTCAAAAAATCGGGTGGGGCCAGGAACCTGCCTATTTAGTGGAGCCCCCCGACAAGCACCACCCCTGCAGGAGACTGAGGCCTCTGTCCCACACAGCCACAGCACTGTGTGGGGTGACAACACATGGATTAGCCCAGGGGAGGCTAATTGTTTCCTTAATTGGCTGAACTCCCTGTGAACACGGTGGGGAGCCTGCTGGGAAAGTCTCCAGTTGTCACTGCAAAGCCCGGGCTGCTTTGCTCGTGGCCAATAACAGGCGCTGGCGCGGGTTCCCGGGAGCTCACGGCTGTTCCCAGGGGGCAGCGGGGAGAGCAGAGAGGGCCTGCCCTGCAGGAGGCCCCTGTGCGCCTTAGACAGGAATGTGGGGGTCCTGTGCCGCCATACCCTGCCCCCAGTTCCACGCCCCCTGCCCACCGCACATGCCTGGTGCCGCCTGCCCCCCTCGCCTGGTCACGCTGCCACCCGAGCCCTGCGCTGACTGCTCAGGGGCCCCCTCGGCGCCCAAGAGGCCTGGAGGGAGCCGGGGGCCAGCCAGGCCAGGCGAGGGCCTTCCCTCAACTACCACCAGGTGGCGCCAGCGACACAGGCCAACCTGGGGACTGTCCTGCCGGTGGCGAGAGGGGGGTGCGCCCTCCCGCAGGACCTCGGAGGCCCTGGCACTTGGCACCCAAGGACCCCAGGAATTAGCCGCCTGGCCTCTCCAGGGACACAGCTGCGCCAAGGCTCGCGTCTAACAAGGCCGCAGCGCAGGGCGAACGTGCAGTAAATGACGCCTCCTTTGTTTTCCCCTGGATTTTCAGGATTGTTTTCAGCGGGGCGGGGGCCGGGGAGGGGCCCAGCTCTTGCCGCCTACCCCGTCAGCGCTCGCAGGGGGACCCCTCGCGACTGGCCATTCCCTTGGCTATGGCTCAGCCCTGCTGGCTGAGGTCAAGTCCTTGTTCACCTACCCACCGTGCTGCCTGGGCAGGTGCCCACCCCCTCCGACCCCCGGCTTCCGGTCTCCCAGGCACACTGCCCTCGGGGGCGTCTGTGAGGACCGGAGCAGCCGAGACTTTGGGAGCCTTTAGGGCTGAGATTGGCATGAAGCGGGCGCAAGCACAGGGCAGCTTGGGCTGAGAAGGGGCTCGCTGCTCCGCCGCCAGCCTTCTGGCGGACAGGGCGCAGGGCATGGGGCCCAGGTGGGCTTGCGGGAGGCGGTCTGCCATCGCCAGCCCCGCTCACGGTTGGGGGCCTTGTGGTCAGTCCATTCCAGAGCTGGGGCCTCCGCTCTTGGAAGACGCTGGTGCAGAAAGGGGGACTCGAGGCAAACCAGACCAAGGCGGGGGGGCCTCCAGTGGGGGCACTTGAGGGAGAGGATGGAGGGAAATGAGCTGCCTGGCCCTGGGCCCCAGGCAGGGGGACCCAGAGAACCCCAGGACATGCCCCTTCTCGGGCTCCAGGCAGGGTTGCTCTGAGGGGTTCCTCCAACTGGGGGCCCCTCTTGGGGCCAGCGTCTGTGGGGAGGAAGGAAGTGACTCCAGCAGCAGCTGGGGAAGAGGGGAGCGGCCCCTTCCCACCACACTTCTGCTTCCTGTGAGGCAGTGCGGCCTGGACAGGAGCCACGGAGCAGCCGAGAAGGAAGGAGCCAGGGTGGTGGCCAGTGGCCTCCCGCTGGCCCTGCCCCTGGACGGCTCGCTCGGGGCTCTGAGAAGGCCTGTTGGGGGTCGGTTTCCTTCCCCGAGTGGGAGCCACCTGGGGGCAAAGCTACACCTTATGTTTTATGCCCCCACTTCCCAGCACACAGTAGGCGCTTAATGAGGGTATGTGGGGCCAGGCTGAGGCAGCGATTGTGGTTGGCCTGGGCAGCATTAGTCTTTGTGTGGACAGGCGTCTCTGCACTGCAGGGGACATCTGCGCCCCCATTTCTCCTCCTCAGGGTGGCCACTTCCTCCAGGAAGCCCTCCTGAGCACCCCCTCCTTCCTCGGCCTCCCTCTTTGCTGTCGCTGGGCGGAGGCCAGAGGCTGGACTGGTGCTTGGGAACGCAGAGGCCGGGTCGTCCGAGGGCCCCTTCCCCGGGCACATTGCGTGGCTGTGACCTTGGGTGAAAACTGCCCTGGGGTAGCTGCCCCCTGGGGAGGCCAGCAGAGCTGTGGCCTCTGCTCTCACCTGCTGGTCTGAAGCTCCCGCCAGGGAGGGAAGGGAGGTCGATGCAGACGCGCCTGGCGGGTTGTCCGCCTGCAGCCCTCGGGTGAGCGCGAGGGGTGGTTTTGCTGGAAAGGTTTCTGGCTGAGCTGCGCTTGTGTTGGTTCCAAGGCCCTGACCGCACGTCCCGGGCCCCACTGACACCCACCGAGGCTCCGCCCTGCAGCTCCCCGGGCATCGGGCATCGTGTGGCTTCGAGGGGCGGTTCACAAACCCACTGTCCCAGGACCCGCCCCCCTCCGTCCCAGCCTCACCCCTGCTCTACAGCCCCAGGGCCCCCTCGCACCCACCCAGACCCGCCACCCCAACGCCGGGCGCCTGCTGCGGGCCAAACACAGTCAAGCACCCCCTTCGGGGCTGTCCCCCGTCGTCCACTCCCGGGTGCACTCACCGCCCAGCCCTGCCAGGAGCCGCTGAGCACGGACTGTGCCAGCGCCAGGCTCGCTCGAGGCCTCTGGCGGTGTCCGGCGCTGACCTGGGGGCGGCCGAGCCCCGCGGGCGCGGGTCTGGAGCAGGGGCTTCGGAGCCCGGCCTCGAGCCGAGGGCAGGGCCGCAGCAGCGGGGTGGCTGCGCCTCCTCCCGGGCACCTTGGCACTCACCTCAGTGCCCAGTCGTAAAAAGACTCTGAGAGGCGCAGACCGACTCCTCCGAGGCGCCCCCTGCGCGGAGACGTCAGCGCGCCGTCTATCACCTTGGCAGCGAGGTGCTCAGCCGAGCGGCCCCCCAGGAGCAGGGAACAGCGCGAGGCAGATGATGTGTCCGCGGTGACGGATGCGATCGTGGATCCCGGTGACGGTGACGGATGCGCAGTCGATACCGGGTCCCGCCGCCCCCGCCCGGGGAGGTGTCTCCCCAGAGCAGCCCCTCGCCTGGCCTTCCGGCCCTCGTTGTTCAAGTGCAAGGCGCAGGGAGACGCGGGGTGACGCGGGGTGACGCCTGGCACGGGCCCTCCCGCCAGGCGGGGGGGGGGGGGGTGTCTCGGCAGCTCTCGGTGGCTGGTTCGGCGGCACCTCGCACCCCCGCGCCCATCCTGGCCGGGCGCAGAGGCCTCTTCTGGGCCTCGATGGCTCCTTTGCAAAATCGGGGGAACGACTTGTATCTGGAGGGTTCGTGGGCGCTGGTGGAGAAAGGAGGCCCGTGCCCGCCTCCCTTTCCACCCCTGCACGCCTGTCGCCTCTGCCAGCCCCTCTCCCCGCCGGGCAGCAGGTAGCTGCGCCCTGCGCTGAAGCTTGGGCCAGGTGGGGGAGCAGTTTGCGGGTCTCCTGGGGGAGCTGGGGTTTAGGGAGCTGCGGGGAGGGGGGCATGCGAGGCGGGTGGGCGGCAGGACAAGGATCCGCTGGGCCTCGCTGGCCCCTGGGAGCGGTGGTCCCTGCCCTCCCCTCACGGCCTGCCCCGCTCCCCCAGGCCCCGCCCCTGCCCGCAGCTCCAGGCGGGTTCACAGCCCCCCAGACCCTGTTCTTGGAGGAGCGAGATCGAGAGGCCCTGGGCCGTTTCTGAGGGGAAGTTCGTGTGATGTGGCCGTTCAGGAGCCTTTCCGAGGGCAACAGTGAAACCGGGCCCTGGAGTCACGGTGCTGAGCCTGGGGCCGCTGTGGCCCTGAGTCTTCTGGAAGGGTCCGGGAGGGAAGAGCCCATCAGCCCTGGGGGGGAGGCCAGGCCCCCCCCTGCTGCTCTCCTGGCTGCTCGCGGCCCAGGCCCCCACCTGCCTGAGGCGGTTTCACAGCTTGAGGAGCGGAAAGTCCAGGTGACACCGGGAGGTCCAGGGAGGCCTGGAGGAAGCAGAGGGCAGCCAGGGAGGAGCTGGGTGGGGACTCGAAGGGGAACTGCGGCTGCCAGCTCAGGCCGGCGTCCCCTCCCGGAGCTAACGAGGAAGGAGGGACGCGGACGGCGGCCCGGATGGACGGCCGGCCTCGGAGGCGGTGGTCCCCACCAGGGCCCTCGCGCCCGCCCAGCTTCCGCCTGGCCGCCCTGGCCGCCCGGCTGCTGGCCTTGCTCCTGCTCGCCGGGCCCCCGCAGCTGGCAGGTAGGCGTCTCCCCCCACCCCCCCCTTCCTCTGCTCCCACTCCCGGCGCCTTTCATCTGCTCGCGCTAATTCCCGGCCTGCCCCGGGGGATTTGCTGGTTGCCGCTGGAGCACTGCAGACTTCACAGGGGAAGCCTTCAGGGACCCCGAGATGGTTAGCGGATGCCTCGCTGGGAGGTGGCTTTTGAAGGGGTGGGGGCAATGCTCCCCATGCTGCCTCCACAGCCCCCTTCCAGCGGGGCTGCCCAAGGGGTCGTGGGTGGGGGCAGGGGCCGCAGGGAGCCTCAGGGTGGACCCTCTGCCTTGAACCTGCCAAGCAGTGTCCTCTGGGAGAGGGGGAGCCCGGGAGGGAGCCTGTGCTGACCAGCAGAGCACCCAGCCGTGGGTCACCGTCACCAGGACGGGTGGCCCCACCCGATTCCTGAAATACAGCCAGAGTCACCTCGTTGTTTTACAAAGGCAGCCAGGCCGTCCCAGGGGGTCACCGCCACCCCTGCCCAGGCCCCAGGCCCCCAGGAGTGGGGCGGTCCGAGTCCGAGCCAGGCCCTGGGGTGAGTTCATCCAGGGACGTGTCCCCCCAGGAGGGTCCCTTGCCAGGGCTGCTCATGCTGGGGTCCCCGACTCAACTCAGTCTCTCCCCGGCAGGGCTGACCCTCTGTACCCCGGGAGCCTGTCCCCGCAGCTGTGCCAGCGCAGAAACATCTCCGATCAGCTTGAACGGGAGACACTCTCCCCAGCTTCCTCCCAGGCACCCCTTGGCACCAGCTAAGAACAGGGAAATGGAGGACCGGAGGCTGCTAGCTTGCCCTTGGCAGTGGCTCTGGGGCTCCTCCCACCTTTCTTTCTTTTTCTTTTTTAAAAGATTTATTTATTTATGCATACAAGGGCTGGGGTACGGGCCAGAGGTGTGGGGGTGAGAAGATTCCCCAGAGACAGAGTGGGGAGCAGAACAGGCAGACTGACTGAAACACACTGCTGAGGGGAGCAGCGGGGAGACAGGAGAGGTCTGCTGCGCCATGTGGGTAGCTCCCTGTCTGGGGATCGAACTCATGCTGCAGCGGTTGCAGACAGCTTCGCAGGTTGCGTCTTAACCCCTTGAGCCACCAGGGAGGCCCTCCTCTCACCTTTCTTCACTGAGACTTCCCCACCATTGGTGGCACCCCCACAGACCAGGTGGCCAAGCCTCATTCGCATGCACCTCTTGGCTGGTGCCCCCTCAAGCCCCCCGCCAGAGATGCACTTTGCAAAGGTGGGTGTTGGCTTGTTGGTGACGTCTGAAGTCACACTTGGGAATTTTAACTGAATTTCCCCTCTTTGTGTGGTGGTCCCTCCTCCCCATAAACAACCCAGCGCATGCGTCACCGAGTACAAGAGACATTTCGGGGTGCTGCCATGGAAAGTGCTTTTGTAACAGTTTCAACTGCAAACAAACAACAGATTTCCCCAGTATTGCAGCAAACGTTGTAGAAAAGGAGAAACCGCTCTTTCACAAGAGGGAAAATGCCCTGTGGCCTCCCACAACCCCTTGGAGCAGCAAGCAGCACCCCATTCCTCATTCTGCCCAGTGGGCACCTGGCTCTCTGTTGCCCTTCCCCACCAGGCTGCCCTGAGTTTGAGGGTTTGGTGGAAGGAAACCCGCCCTCTCATCTCCCAAAGCTCCCAACTGCAGCCGCCAGCCTGGTGCCACCGGCTGCAAACCAGGGCCCGACTGTGCCCCTCTGTCCCTGGAGACATCGGCGTGTGGTCACTGAAGCCCAGAGACAATGTGTCTGCGGCTCTGGGGCCACAGTGTGATGCGGGCAGGTGCAGGCCAGGAGCACCGGCAGGGCTGGAATCTCAGCCACTCGTCCGGGGGCCCTGGGCTGGGTCTTATGTTGCTGGACCTCAACTGGCCTTGCTGCCCAGAGGCCCATCCTGCATGTCTGCGGAGTGCCCAGCACTTGGGCAGCCACCTGCCAGCCCAGCAGAGCCAACTCCAGCTGTGGCTGCCCGCTCACCCTTCACGGCCGGGTCTCGCCGACTTTCCCGGCAGCCTCTAGCCCTGGGTGGGCTCTCGGCCTCTGCCCCTCCTCCTGTGGTGAGCCAGGACCTGGGCCTACTCTCCTCCGCTCTCTGGAGCAAATCCTCTTTTTCTCACACAGTCCAACAGCCTCTTGGCGTCTCACGGGCAACAGCTCTCCCCCAGAGGCGAGTCATCCAAACCCAGCTGTCCTGGGAGCAGCCGCACTCCTGCCCTCGGCGGCACTGGGCCAGGCTGCAGCCACTTCTGGGGCGGGCAGACCAGGGCAAGTCCTGCTCCTTCTAGGCAAATGACGCATCCTATGTGAGCCTCCATGTTCTCCACAAATGTCAGCCTCCTTTCTCTTCCTGGCCTTTCCAGAACTCTGGGTTGTGTTTCTTTCTCAAACAGCCAAGGAGGCCGGCCAGTGTAGGCACTCAAGGCCCTGAAGGTGAATAAGCCACGGCCCCCATCTCAGAGAACACGAGGGTCACCCAGGCGGCTTGCCACCCTCCCCGTTTACCCTGGACGGAGCTGCTCGGCCTTGAGGCTTCCTGCCTCCCTTCCTGCAGCTCTGGCCTCGGTCAGTCCAGCCCAGCGTTTCATCCTTGTTTAATCCCCAGAAAGAGCTTCCTGGCAGCGCGGAGGGGAAGCCCCTGGGCTGGAGGCGGGGCAGGGGGAATGCCGCGTGGACAGGGGATGCAGCGGAGAGGCCGCGGCCAGGCCATGAAAGAGGCGGGGAGGCCAGGCCAGGGCAGACAGGCGGTGAGAGTTCGCCTGGCCTGGCGAGGACAGCTCTCAGCAGAGCGGGGCGCCCCAGGCGGCCCCCCCCCCCACTTTCTGGCGGATGATAAATGCTGGTCAGGTTGGGGTTCAGCCGCCACCAACCCCGTGTTTTCATCGCTTTCTCTTTCAAAGTGATGAAACAGGAGCATGTCCGGGGAGACAGGAGGGTCATCAAAGTGTGAGCGCAGGAAGACGGAGGCTGGCGCCCGAGCCCCGTGCCTGCCAGGGTCACCCGCCCTCCCTCCCAGAGCGCCCCCCCTTCAGGGCCTGTGTTTCTTCGGTTTTCTCCTTTGGCCGTTCCCTACATGAGACAGCCGGGCCGGTCTGTGCTCCCGGGGACATGCTGCTTCTAGAGGTGCCTCCGGCTGAGTGCGGCTGGAAGGTGTTTGTCCTTTGCTAAGGAGCAGCTCACCGCCGCCCTCACCCTCCGCGCCCACCCCGGCCCTCACCCCTCACCTCCACGTCCAGCCCTCCCCCCACCCCTCTGTGTGAGGCCTGAGTGGCTCTCCCCATTTTTTTTAAGATTTACTTATTTATGCATACAAGAGCTGGGGTACAGGCCAGAGGTGCGGGGGGTGAGAGGATTCCCCAGAGACAGAGTGGGGAGCAGAACAGGCAGACTGACGAAATCCACTGCTGAGGGGAGCAGCGGGGAGACAGGAGAGGTCTGCTGCGCCATGTGGGTAGCTCCCTGGCCAGGGAACTTGGGCTGCAGTGGCTGCGGACAGCTTGATAGCGCTGTCTTTAACCCCTGCGCCACCAGGGAGACGCCAGTTCTCGGGTTTTTTAATGGAGAAAGAGACGAATATTTCGCCACACATGAAAATGACACAACCGCCAGCTTTCTGTGTCCATAAATAAAGATTTATTGGGGGAGAGCCCTGGCGGGGTTGCGTCGTTCCTTGTGGCTGCGCGACGTGCCCCATGGGGTCGAGGGGGCGCCTAGAGACCAGCTGGCCACAGAGCCCACTTGCTGCCCCTACTGGGGAGCGTGGTGGAGTGAAAACACCACGTCGCCCTGCACTGGACGTGGTCCACGCTGCCCCTCGGGCTTCTCTGCGCTGTCCGCCCCCTGAGGACCCCACCAGCGTCCAGGGCAGGCCTGTGCGTGCTTTCTTGGCTTTAAGTTGTTGATGCCCAGCGTCACAACGTCGGGGAGGCACTATACCACCGGTCATAGGGTGCAGGGAAACATTTTTGAAGCTACAAGGCCAGGCCCGTCCACATTCCTGGGGCCTGCCCTTTGACGGCGTTTCCCCATTGGGGACCTGGTCCTAAGGAGCTGAGGGACCCCAAGAGGAGAGGCTGGAAAATACCAGGAAGATCCCAGGGTCCCTGGGGCATAGCTGCCGATGGGCTCACTACAAAAGGGGGTGTCCTCAACCCCAGCTCCTGCCCTCACTCCCACAGGCCTCTTCTAAGCCAGGTTGGGGCTTCCTGCCCCTGAGCAGCTACTCGTGCTGTTCCCTGCCCACTTGGTGGCTACCAAGGTCAAACTCCCGTCCCTGTGGTGCCTCTTCTGGCCCACTCTCCCGGACCCATGCACTGATGACCAGCCTTCCCCAGGCTGCCCCCAGGGTGTCCCCTGTGTTTTGAGCCTGCAGGAGCTCAGAGGTGTGAGGGCAAGACTGAGCTCACCTGGGGCAGGTAAGGATGCCAACAGAGCCAGGGCACCCACCCCCAACAGGTGAGCCGTATAAAGAAAGCCAGAGAAAGGGCAATGAGAGATGGCACAGGCTGGGGGTGGGTGGGAGGGAGGGCGCCGTGTCTGCAGGGTCAGGGTCAAGGCCAGAAGCTGGGAAGCCACAGTTCAGCGGTCAGACCTGGAAGACAGAGCATCCTCTGGGGGCGCTGGGAGGGGAGAGGCAGATGGGAGGCTGGGAAGTCGGTGGGTCTGGCGGAGACTGTGTAGGGGAGGCAGGAGGGGGGAGGCAGGAGGGGGAGGCAAGAGGGGGAGGGCAACTGAGAGATTTTGCGCCCTGAGGGTACAGGCTCTTTGGGGAGGTGGAGATTAAGAGAAGTCGGGATAAAAGTGATCTGGCCAGGCGTCCACGGGAAGGAGTTAGTGTGTTGACAGCCAGAAGCATTTATGTTTTAAAAGGAGGCTGGAGGGGGAGGGGGGCAGAATCCCACAGAATGAATCACTAATGCCAGGGATTTAGGCGGCTGAGGAGAGCTGTTTGCAACGCTACAGTATTTCTCCTGTGCCTGTCAAA